ATTAATGATGGTTCTTGAGCCTGTCTTTGAATTAGAGGGAAGCTGTGTGTTAATGGATATGTCCGCATCATTCATTGACAAAAGTGCGTCTCCCTTTGTGGTCCCAAGGTAATGAAGGAGCTTGTACAATGGTCATCTGTTGCTAAATCAAACCATTGGGCAGTGATTCTCCAGGGCAGTGCTCTAATATGACCATTAACTGAAATGTCCTCTACTCCACCCCTCCACCCGAGTCAGGTCTGTCATCTGTCTGACTTCTGGAGGATACCACAATGTGACAGGAGGCAGAGGTAACCTGTATCGCTGAACAAGAGTGATTCAAATACCGTATCTACATCTAATGGGGAGCTTTGATCTCTCCAAGACTGTGGGGTTTTGAGGTGAGCCAGGTCCTGGTCGAGCCCCTTCATCTTCTTTCCCCCTTCCTCCCACCTTTTCCCTTTCCTGCCCCCTCTTTTCTCCCCCCCTCCCCCTTTTACCCCCTCTCTGGCATACACCCCTTCCGGAACCACTCGCAAATGGATTTCAGTAGATTTCAATTCATATGTGCTTAAGGGGTGAATGACAAGGGGACCATGCTTGGTGCGAGTGGAGTAGATTCCTCCTCTGCTTTTCAGTCTTGTGTAGTGCCGGCTATGCTGGCGGCTTTCATGGGCTAGGATGCCAATACAGAACCAGAGATAAATTGAGAGGTTGTGGGAGTGACGCAGGACTGAAGGGGGTAGGAACAATGCTGCGTTGTGAGGCATGCAGAGATACAGACTGACCTGTAGGCTAGTAAGTTTGCAAGGTTACAGACAGATATCAATGTGAATGTAAGTGTGAGTACATTCAGCGTATACATGTTCAGGCGTGTGTAAATGTGAGAGGATAAGAGGCAGCACGGATTTCCTATTATGAACAGGCAACCAACTGATCTCTAACATTAGCAATAGATCCCACTGTCTTGAGTTTTCAATAAAATGGATCATTTATCCCTTGAGGTGCCCTGACACTAAAGTGAGTTTAGAAGTGGGTCAAACACCGACTACAGTAAAGAGATTCATTCAGAGGTAGTTCAATGTGAGAACCTGGTGTCTGACACAAGAGGAATTGATAGTACCGAGTCCCGAAACAAACTGGATTTACAGTGAAACATCTCGTTACTCGTGGTCCTTGGCTCAGTTTATTGCTGCATTTAATTCTTGGAGAGTGTAAAATAGCTCTCACCTGGGCCCTGACTTCACCAGCTGAATATTTTTAAGAGGAAATAATAATTAAATGAACTGAATGTCACTATAATTATTTGAAACACTGGCTTGGTTTCATCGCCTGTCGTCTGCTTTTACAACTAGTTTTAATAATAGGGCATGCATTAGCTGAAGGCATACACACTGCCTTTGTCAGCGTTTTGTTCCAATGAGAAAGTGAGGAGACTTTGGTTCTTAGTGTCACTTGTTACAGGTGAAACATGTTCTAACTCCACTGTAATATGTGCTACTTGCTAGCAGACTCTTTATTCCCCTACTTACATCACAGCATGGGTTAGCGCCACTGTGCTGTAGAAGTTGCACAGGGAGATACCTATATATGTGGCCATCATGACTTGTAGTAAAATTAATATGTGGCTCCTGCAAAGTGACGAGCTTCTCTAAAATGGCAATGCGGCACCATAATTCCTCTTCCTTTATCTTGCAGAATGCTGGCTATGTGCCAGTATCTCCTTTTGTGTGTCAGCCTGGTGCAGTGGTAGGACTCTTACCTCTGAGTTAAAATCCCCTCTCCTGATCCCAACCCCCACCTTAGGTCCAAATCCCTGACTGTCCAGCACCTTGGGATGTCCTCCTGATGTGAAAGGCGCTATACAAATGCAATTTGTTTTTGTTGTTGTGGGTTCAAGCCCCACATTGGCACTGGAACTCGTATAGTCTAAGCTGACCCTCCGTTGCAGTGCTGTGGGTGTGCTGTATTGTTCGATGAGACATTAAACTAAGGTTCCATCTGCCTGTTCCGGTGGATGTTAATGATCCCAAGGCATTATTCGAAAAGAGAAGGGAGTTTCTCCCGGTTTCCTGGCCAACAATCCCCAAAATAAAATTGGCCATTCATTGGCTGTTTGTGGGACATTGATGTGTGCAGTTGGGCTGCTGTGTTCACTCTCCAAATACTCAGTCAATCCATTTCAACAACAACGAAAAATTGCATTTATATAATGCCTTTCACATTGGGAGGACGTCCCAAAGAGCTGGAAATCTCACAGCAAATCTTGTGAAGCGCTTTGGGATGTTTTCCTGACGTGAATGAGAGATGTTGGGTTCTCTCCGTATCGGAGAGAACTGTACACTTACTAACCAACAACAACTTGCATTTATATAGCGCCCTTCACGTGGGGATAGCATTCCGGAGCGCTTGGAACCAGCAGTTCCAAACCATAAAACAAAGCAAAGGTTAAGCGAGAGACACTGATAACGTATGAATATCTTTGTAACGTTCGGGATCACGAGACAGGCTGGAGGAGTACATTTCTCCTTTACATATCTCTCCGCTCATTAACTCTGCACCACAGAATATAATCTTTAGGCTTCGGCATCAGTTGACCCAGTGTCTGATGCTCAGCAGATGCTGCATAGCCAGTAAGGGTAGATTTGATAGATGCAAAGTCTTAGCAATTGCTCTCTTTGATTCTGCCTGTGGAAGCTTAGCAATTCATTTCCTGTGCTGTCTTCTGCCCATGATACAAATGACCCCACAGCATTTCCTTGGTAGAGAGCACTTAGACTGGAGTCAATTCTGTCTGTGTCTGTGATTTGTGAAGACAACACTTTTTTTCAAGTTTAACCTGTCCAGAAAAGATTTGAAATAAGATCATTTGAGTCTGTTTGTTGCACAAAGGCAGAAAAATCTTTAATTTTGCAAATTTGTTTGTTGGAAGTGTGTGACAGATTGCAAGGCATATAGCTAAGCTAATTACAAACATGATTGACATAACCCACAAGTAACAACAAAAAATTGCATTTATATAGCTCCTTTCACATCAGAAGGATGCCCCAAAAAGCTGGACAGTTGAGAGTTTGCATCCGGGCTGGAGGGCAAGTGTGGGGATGGGAAGATGACCGAAGGCAAGGTCAAAGAGGAAGGTTTTGAGATGGGCCTTGAAAGAAACAAGGGAGGGGACGAGGCAAAGGGACTCCGGGATGCAGTTCCAAAGAGTGGGGGCAGAAAGGCTGAAAGCCAGACCGCTGATGACACAAAAGCAGCAGAAAAAAGATTTGGGGTATAAAATCTGACACCAGGAAGTATTTCTATAGCCAGAGGATAATTAACAACTGGAATGGTTTACCAGGAAGGGTGGGAGGCCAGCAGACTGGACTCATTTAAGAAATCTCTTAATTCTGTGATACTTGGTCGGTATGGTTGGTACTTCTAGTAAGACGACATCGAATGGGCTGAAAGGTCATTATCACAAGATTGGTTTGGATGAAAAAGGCCTTTGGCTCAGTCAATCTCATCCCTCCAGAACAACTACCCAATCCTGATCATTGCATCAAGCTGCTTTTTAAATGAGTCCCAGTGTCCTAACCTCCATCGGCTTTCCTGACAACTTGCTCCGACCATTGATTACCCTCTACATGAAGAATAACTTTCTGGCGTCTTCCTAAAATTGCCCTTTACACCTCTAAACCCATATTCTCTCGTTCTACTGTCTTGATGCATTGCTAAGGTATTGATGCGGGTTAGCATTTTCAAATCCCATTTAAAAATATTGTACACCTCTGCAAGATCAGCTCTCGCTTGTGAAGGGAGGGAAGAACTTCATTGAGGGCAATATGGCAAAGAGCAGTCTTTTTTGACTAAAACGCTACCAGGAATTCCAGCTGTCCACAGGTTGCAATACCAGGTGATTGCTAGGAACATTGTGCTGATTATCAAAACCTCTTTGGCAATGAAGTGGAATCGGAGCCCAGCAGCTCAGTAGGTTGGCTGTGTCACCGCCCTTTCGCCGATGGAGGCTTGGCACAAAATGCAATTCAGGCAGAAGAAAATGACGTGTTACTCAGTGAATTAATGGCACAATGCGTTTAACCTTAGGAGCTGGGCTGGACCTCTATCGGTTGGTGGCTGGAGAAACTCCTCTGATAAAGTGATGTGGGGTTGGGACAGCCTTGAGCTAATTTTGAGAGAATTTTGCTCTCTTTCTAGTTCACCCGCCTTGGCAGTCGGTCTTCCTGCAGCAGGAAAGAGGGCTGGTCTGTCCACAGCGAGAGCCAGTGCCCCCCGTTACTGGATAATAATATTCATCCAATATTGTTGGTCTTCATCCAATCCAAATCAAACTGACCTGTGAGGGAGCCTGTCTTTCATGCTATTTGCCACTAGATGGCACTCTGCTCTGCAGTTTCCAATTTGCTCATAGTAAGTAGGTCTGGACTTCTTGCTCTGGTGATCAGCCATCTCCTTTCTCTGCCCCACCCTGAGACCTTAATACAGTGTACCAGAGAGCAGATTACACAATAAGTTTAAATCTATCAATGTACAATTAGAGACAGAGCCTGTTGTCACTAACTTAACTAACTTCAACGCTCTGCAAATCCAGGACACTTCTCTGCCTACTGCAGGAAAAGTAGACCAGGCTGCTGACTTCCCTTGATAGCCACCTCCATCTCTGCCCACCCCCGGCTCTGCCCACCCTCAGCTCTGCCCACCCCCCCCCACCCCCACGCTGTAGATTTCTGAGACTATGCTTGCGTACCTTTGATCATCTTCCAATCCCCAGCTTGGGTGCAAACCCTTCACTGTCCAACGACTTGGGACTTGCTCCCGATGTGAAAGACGCTGTATAAATGTAACTTGTTGCTGTTGTATTGAGTGTTGGCTTGGCTGGGCTGTCGTGGTGGTGAATTTTCGCTCCTTGCACGCACACGCTGTTCCTCTCTGTGTGTAATTACTTTCAACTCCTTGCTGTCTAGAGAGAGAAAAAGAGAGAGGTGTGAGTGACACATTCTTGTCTTTTCTATTTGCAGCACGATGGGCAGCCCTATTGCCACATGCCTTGCTACGGTGTGCTGTTTGGACCAAGAGGTGAGGAGAATTTTGTATTCCAGTCTCCACATTGGGGAAAGGGGATTTAATAGTCTCGGTGGCTGTGGGTCAGATTTGAGGGGATTCCTGTAACGTTCCTGTTGTGAGTTCCTCTCTTCCACCTTCCCGATGTTCCACACCAGAATAAGCCTTGTTCTGCACTTCGTTCCAGGGTTCAACACTGGGGGCGTTGGAAGCTACATCTACGAGAAAGATGGCACAGCTCAGCAGCAGTGATGAGCTTCTGTCCTTCCCGGGAATGTGGAGAAACAAAGTCAGCTACTTTACTGTTTGCGATTTCTAATGCGATACACACAGACTCTGTATTTATCATAACCCCACTATACCAATAGGTTAGACTCTGCAGCAACTGAGCTGTACTCAATGTTGTCTAGACAATGGCATGCTGTTCACAGTCTCGTGTGGAGGGATATTTTAGGGGACTGTTAGTGCTGGTAGAGCATCTTCTCTCGTTTTCCTCCTGCTATGTGGGTGTGCGCTCTCCTGGCTTTGAGCGGCTGGAAAGGCTTCCTTCCAAACCTGGTTAGCAGCATGCACTTGCCAAAGGTAAGCTGGTTCCCGAGCACAGTGGTCAGGAACAAGCTGCCCCTCACTTCCTCCTCAAATTCTTGCCCTTGAACTGTTCTTTTACGTACAGTGAGTGGTTCCCTCAACAACAGTGCCCCAACACTAGCTTGTCGTGTTCCAGCTGAGTGTGGCAATTCCTGTGTGTCACTTGTGTAACCCCGCTTGTGAAGTCAGCTGTTTAATGCCCACATTCCCCCTATGCTACTCTGCTCAGAAACGGGCAGTCCAGCATTGCAGTATTAATATGATGTTGTGCAAAGTAACTTCTGACGGAAAACTTTTACATATTTAAGCAACAGTAGAGAGCCTCGTCTTTCCTACGTATACAGAAAGTTATTGTTCATTTAATTGCTTTACTGATAATAAAAGCTGCCAAACGATTTGGGATGTTTCTTTGGCTTTTTTTTTTGTCTTCTGAATCTGTGTTAATTTTGAAAATTACGTGTTACTCAGTGAATTAATTCCAACATCGGTGCTGTTTATCACCAGCAGAGCAATATTTGTTCATTGATGTGCATTTAAAAGGCCATTTTTCACATTTTTTTTAAGGAAGGGCAAAGGAGAAAGAATGAAGTGGGAGGGCACTGACTGATGGGAGAGAAGTGAAGATGATGTATAATGAGAGGCTTCCCAGCTAGCGGGAGTTCAGCCAAGTGTGTGAGACATGCGGAAACCCATCACCATGCGTAAAGAGTATCCAGACCTGACAGAGTTCTGAGACCTCCCCGAAGCCATCCTGCAGATGAGGTCTGCCTGCTCGGGTAGATGTTCACAATCCCGCTGCACTATTCAAAAAGAGAAGGGAATTCCTCCTGATGTCCAGTACAATCTCCAAAATAAAATCGCTCATTTGTTTCATATTTATTTCATATGTTGCTGTGCGCAATTGTGCAAATGGTGAGGCTCATTATAAGTCAGCCTCACGCCTCCTCCCCATCCGCTCTTCATGGCTTTGCAATTCTCTCTTTCCTGGTCACAACCACCAACGACAACTTGCATTTATACAGCGTGCTTCACGTGGGCTAGCACCACATCTCTACATCTGCCTCAAGAGAGATGGAGTGAGCCTGAGAACAAGACTTGAATATTGAGCAAAGTGCTCTGAGATGCTGTCAGGCATGTAAGGCGCTATATAAATGCAAGTTGTATCGAGAGTTGAGAAATTATCTGCGAGAGACAGAAGCAAATCACTAACTGGTGACTTTAATTAACAATACTTTGGTGCATGCAGCTTTAGCATGTGCTGTCCTGCCAGCAGGACAGGGTTATAACGTCAGTACAGTATAGCGTGCGGAAAAGCCATCTCCCACATGCTTGTCAGAATCTGCTGAGAAAACAAAGCGAGCATCTCCAGGGAATAAGCTGAGAATTTTATACTCGCATCCTGGAGCAGGCTGGCCTCCAGGTGCTTGCTTTATGCACAAATGTTACAATAAGCAGATGAATGCGTCCACTCTGCTATGTTTTCGCAGCCCTGCACTATCCTGATGCTATGATTTAGTACAATCCCATCTGTTCCTCATCATCGGTCGCTGAGGGCAGCGAATCTTCCCACTAAGTCCCGTTAACCCTGCAAGCCAAAGCTCTATCATGTAGAGTGGTCCTAGCTGGACAAGCAGCGGGAAAGTTTGCCAGACTGCTATCGATGGCAAGCTATGTGTTTTTAGCTGGTCAGACTCCAGCAGTTACCACAATGCACTCTCTGGGGTCCCCAAACCTTGGCTCTTGCCAACCTGCGCCTAATACTTTCTGGAATTAGGTAAGCAGGATGTGTCCCTCCAGGGAGAGAGTGTGTATTCCATACCAACAATCTATCTATCTCTGGAATCTCCACGTGTAGGTGGATGCATCGAATTCTCAGCCTGGTTTTGACACTCTTAAGCACGGTGATGGGTTTCCGCATGCGTCAGACACCCGGCTGACTAAACAAAACAAATTCCTCATCACCTCCTTCATCAGAGCCCAAGAAGCTAGTAGCTAAGTTACGAACTGTCCTTAAACGTTATCTGTGAGATATTGTTCACAGTCACAAACCATCGCAAATCATCTCCCAGTACCAAAGAGGCCAAATTTAACTCTTCGTCTGACACCATTCCTAACATGTCCCAATATTCCCAAAGAATTCAACTTATCCTAAAGTGCCCAGGCAAGTTAGTGATTTCCCAGCACTTCTACACCTCCAATCAATTCCCTTCCACCCTTGAATTAAGTCCACGAACAGGCCACATTGGACAGAAAATTACTGTTTCCCCCCTGACCCCTGCTTCTTTCCTAGTCTCCCCTTTCCTCTCCTCCCTCTGCTCCTTCCCAGGGTGGGTTGTTTCACCTTTTGTAAAGTGACTGTGGGTGAGTAGGTATCTTTGTGTTGAGATGAAAGGATGGTATTGTAGAACACAGAACTCTTATCGTGCGGAAAGAGGCCAAGCAGCTTATTAAGTCTGGACCAGCTCAAAGGGCAAGGAGATCAATTCAATTTCACCGCCCTGCCTTCAAGCCCCTCTCTTTTATATACATGTCTATTTCCCTCTTGAAATCAATGGACTCCACATTTAACGGCATTCTGACATTAACACCAGGGATAGTTACCAGATGGTAAGTTTGGTCAAGAACCTTGAAACAACTGAGTGATACAAAGCTTGGATTATGGTGGCAGCCCTGAGTGTTGAGTTGGGCCTGGGATACCTCCAGGTGTGGAATAAAAATAATTTAATAATAATAATCCTTGCATTTGATACAGCGCATTATCACGTCATTGAGACGTCTCAATGTGCTTCACCAGATATATTGTAAAGTGAATTGATTGTATATTGTGGCAGCCAATTGCAGTGTCACACAAAAAGTGGTGGATTGAGTGACCAAATTATTACCATTGTTAGTTTTTTTTGGAGCGATTATTACTCCTGGAAAGCAATCCGCCAATCGACTCACAACTAGGTTGCTACTTACTGCTAGGTAAACCATGCCGTGTGGAGTAAGGGAACTTGCCTAAGGTTTTGCCCCACCCGGGTCCTCTTGTTCGCAAGGAGAGTACTACGACTTCATGTGACAATGAGCGTGCTGAATGTTGCATTTTCACACATTTTGGGGTTCTCATTGGCAGGAACAAAAGTCAATGAGAATCCTGATGCTCTCCTGGCAGATCAGAGAGACATGGCCACTCTGTGTGGCCATAACACAAACTGCTCCAATGCATTCTCCAGGTTTGTTGGCTTTGCTCTGTGGACACAAAGCCTCTGGGGAAAATTTACATTCCAACAGAGGGAAATGCAATTAGAAGGAAAGGATAAAACAACAAACAGGTAATTTCTTTTTGATTAGCAGCAAATTGAGGTTGAATATCGTGTCTGGAATTTCTGAATTAGGAGCAATTTGCTGCTGTATCACAGTGAGAATTCCAGGCTCTCTCGTGTCTCATCTGTGGCTGAGAGCTCATTGGACTCACCTGAGAGACAATCATCTTCCTTTTACGTGGCTCCTTGGAATCACTTGTATCTATGGCTCAAAAGGTCCATGTCCCTAGTTGGGAGTTAAATTCCTAAACTACGTGGCCCTTCCAGTGCAGTGCAGGACAGGGCTGCTGGACTGTCAAAGGTTCTAGAAAGTAAATATAAAACCGAGATATTATCTGTTTGTTTGTTCATGTGAACGTTAAAGATCAAGTGACAATTGGGGTAAAAAAAAGAGAGAAGGGAGCAAACATTAGCCCAGTAGCCTTGCACAACAGTCCTAATTAATTGGTCGTTCACTTTGTGGCTGTTAATGGGATTTAGATGCTACAAATCGCTTCTGCATTTACCTACTAAAAAAAAGCTTCACTCTTAATAGACTAAATAAGAATATATCAATATATCAAATGCAAGGATTATTATCAATCAAGCCCTGTTGCAGGATTAACGAGAGTGACATATGGTGATGACAGGACATTTGAAATAATATAATAATTGTTCCAGTTGGTATTTTGCCTTATCATGTTGCAGGGATGTCTCAAAGTGTGTATTTTGTAGGTGAATGTGCAAAGCAATGTCCCACAAACAACCCGTGGAGTGAGTGACCAATTTTATCTTGGTCGTAGACAGTGAAAACAGTGACCAATTTTATCTTGTTGGCCAGGACACCGGGAGAGAGAAACTGCCTTCTCTTTTCGAATAGTGTTGTGGGATCTTTAATACCTGAACAGACAGACGGGAACTTGGTTTAACGTCTCATCTGAAGGAAGGCACTTTGGACAAACTGCACTCGAGTGTCAGCCTCGACTGAGCTCAAAGTCCCGAAGTGGGGCTTGAACCTTCTGACTCGAGGCAAGAATGCTACCGATTGAGCTCGGCTGACACCCTGTGTGATGTACTCCGTAGGCTTTCTCAATCTATTCCTTTTATTCAAAAAGATCTAAAACTGAACCCACATCCAAAAGACCTGTCTCCTCAGAGACAACCTCTCTGTGGCTTCTCTATCCACTCCATTATTCACCTTTGACCTGTGGCTAACAACAAGTTATTTGAGGAATGCTCGATATTAGACAGTGCCGTCAGATCCCACGTTATCCGAGCAGTTAGTCTTTGACTCAGTTTCCTGTTTATTGTTGCAAGCCAAGCTTCAAATTGAGCATAATCCATATATTATGCACCAGATAATAATAATAATTCTTGCGTTTTATATAGCACTTTACCATTGTCATCGAGACATCTCAAAGCACTTCACAGGAATACATTGTGTGTTTTGTGGGCGAAACACAGCAGCCAGCTACGCACAGCAATGTCCCACAACCAGCCACGGAGTGAGTGACCATTGTTATTTGGGGGATTGTTGCTCAAGACACAGGGAAAAACTCTTCTCTTTTCACGGTCAATAACAGGTTATGTAGAGGTGTCACTCTTAATATCAGAGATGTCACTTGACATGGGTTCTGACAGCCTTGTGAACGTCATACGAAGCCCGGGAAAAGTCAGGTCGTGGTTTGCCTTACAAGGCAATTGTATACGGAACACACTCTCTGTTTGGGAATGTTGCCCAAACAATGAGATGGAGACATCGGGGATATTTTGATCATATTCAACCACTATTTCGGCAGATTCAGGACGTATTTCGAGCTTCTTTTCAGCCTCCAAAATAATTCGACGGCCACAATTCTGGGAAACTCCTGAACTTGTAATCTTCCCACATGGCGTCTTCTGCTTCAATTGCAAAAATATTGGTGCATTCTGTTCTTGGCAAAACAGGAGAGAAAAGCCAAGGGCCAGAGTAAATGAGGAAGCGGCTGACAGGGAAAGCTTTGCAGAGCGAGCTATTCTGAATCTGTGATCTTGAAGCTGCCTTGGCATTCCTCACATTACAGTTTACGCTGGTCGTTAATCCTACTTAATCCAGAGAAGCATGAGAAGATA